TCGGAAGAATCTACCGAGCTGGAGTTGTTCGCTCGAGCGGCTTCCCGCCTGTTCTAACCCGGAATGGCGTGCTCTGATTTATCTTGCTCCGGCTTCCCCTGTGTGCTCCCCGAGGCCTCTTCATGACCCTTCCCAATTTCTCGTCCCATCGTTCAATCGGTTCGGCGGCGGAGAACACGCTTTTTCCCCTGCCGCCCGAGTTTGGTTCTCTCGGCTCTACATTCTACCCGGAAGCTCAGCCCGGAGGCTTAGGCGGAGGTCGAGTGGAAAACTGGCTCCAGTCGATGAAAGACGATTTCGAAAGGCATTCATCGAACCATTGTTCCCGTTGGCATGCCAACCTCTGAATCCAGCAAAGTTACTGACGCCTCCTCCCGCCGCCGCAGGCTGTGGAAGGAAACTGAGAAAACAACTTGCCACTCATGTCCCTACGTTTGCTCCCGACCACCACGCCCCGTTCTTTATTTCCTTTCCCCACAAGTTCCCGAATCGACTGTCGTTTGACTAGCTTGGAAACAAACGAATTCCCGTTAAGCTCTCTGCGGGACTTTGCTAAACTGGGAAAAAGCTTTGCTAACCTCATTTCGCTCAGTCTGCTATCGACGAGCTTATCACTGGTAAATGCCTGAGGCAAATGTCGACTAAGCGACGAAATTGCTCCCACTAGGTCGTGAGTGTTTGTTTTCTTGCGGAGCATTGCACAGTCGCTGTCGCAACTATTGACGGTGCTTCATGGTCGCGTCGAATTTCCTTGGAGAATCATTCTCTTCTACCGAAGCTCTCAAAATCGGAGAGATTCACGGATTCCATGAACTCATATCGATGTCTCGGGTGGCAGGAGACCTGGTGTACATCTGATCTCCGCATTCGATATTCTGAGCGATCGGACCCGAAGCGGAAAGATGAAAATCGTCCACTTTGCCGGTCATCAGGAGTCTGTGATTCGGCTCAGCGACGGCGTCCTTGTTCTGATAAAGCGCTTGTGAGAACACAGAGCTCGTTTCGGAACGTTTGCTGGAAAGCGTGGTAATCTCTGTTTGGGGATTATGCAGAGATGGAGCAACAGAATGCGGTCTCCTGGGTGATTCGGAACGGAGGTAAACACCTACTTCGGGCCACTTGCGCGGATCTTATATAAACCCCATCCCCAGAGAAAAGTGGACGAATCCCAGAGACTTTTCCACAGCGTAGCGCGCACTGGAGATCAGTGAGATGAATGCAACCCGGATCCATGGGATCTCGGTTCGCTCCGAGACCCATCACAGGGGGGTACGGAGCTCCGAAACTTCCGTCGAGCACCCCGGTTGCGGAATTCACATCGGTCTTCGGAAGCGCCGTTCTCGGAGTGTTCCTATCGATTCGTTCAGCGACGATACGGCGACGCCGACGGTTTGAGATCTTTTCGAATCCATGAAAAAGAGAAGATTCCTTTGACACACGATCCTTCCCTGGAAGATTCGATTTCGCTCGATTGGGGGAGCTCATAGCCGGACGAGCAGTGGATGATATCTCATCTCCCCGATGCTTATTCATGTCTTAACCCACTTTCAGAAACTCGAGAGATCCGTCGGATTTCGTTTTCTCATATTCCGAGCATTCGTTCCTTATCTCTTCGTTCTCCGGGCGCGCTCATCACCATATTGAATGGATCTCATGCCTCGACTGGGCTCGAGACGTCGGAGACTCCCCCATTATGACGAAACGGATAATTTCCATCTTTCGAAAGCATGCTCCACCGCGAGCCGATGGAGTCAAGTATCGAGGTCATCTCGTCCTTCTATTTTCCGAACTGTCGGTCCTGGGCGCAGCGAGAATTACCCGGAACAATCGGAATCGGAGAAGAGTTCTCTTTTGGGCACGCGCGTGCCGCATTGGTCGGACATGAAACTGATCGTCCCCGCGGAAGTGAAGTGAGCACAATGTGACGAGCTCCCGTCAGCGAACACAATCATCGTTTTTTGTCGGCGGCAAACTGGCCGAGCAATGAAGCTCAATAAAAGGTGGCAAGCAGCATAGACCTCATAAACCAAGTTGTGTCTTCCTCAAGCTTTGCCCAATAGGTTTCGGTTACCGCATCCATTCGCTCGATCGAGTGCGGCGGCAACCGCTGCGGCCGTCCGGGCGGCTGCACCGACCGAAAGAAATAATAGTAAAAGGAAAAGGAAGGAAAAGCCGTGCAATGTCATCACATCACCCACCCGCTGAGACCTGACGGAAGTTCTGCACAGCTAGGCGTACCTACCTATGAGCAGCAGAAGAGAAATCAGCTCCAGACGGAGAGCTCGGAATGTGATTCGATGAGCAGCGACGACACGGTGACCTCAAGGAACGCACACTAAGACTTTCCCTAATGTCGCAGATCATCAGGAAAAATCGGAATAGGATGATTCGAACGCCCAGGAGGGGGGCTGCGTGCCCTGCTCGTCCGCCTGGAAGAAAACTACGAACAGATAGAGAAGGCTTGCGGGGAATGCGGGAGGATGAGCCGAGCGGCGCGAGGAGAGCGAACGGGCCGAGGAGGTAGGACGCAAGGGAGCAGAAAAGGAGGCAATCGGGTACAAACGACCTTACCTAGTACTTGGGATCTATCGCAGTCAGCGGTCGGACGCATCCGGACCGCCGACGCCACCACCGGCGCCGGATGGATTTGACTGTTCGACTATGCAGATGATTCCAGAGACGAAACGTTGTGCAGACGACCTCAGACGGAAGACCCATTTGCTGGGGAGGGACAGCTCTCGTTCGTTCCATCTCCCCACTCCTTCCTCTGGCCCATGCAGACTCCCGACGCTCTGGCAGCAAGACTCTGCCGCCGACAGCCCCCTGCCCCATGTCCACCTCGTTCATGGCCCAGAAGATGACCTTCACGCGACGCACAGACATCGTCCGGCCGGGTGACCTCCGTATGAAATGACGTCACGTAGTAATTCATCAAACTGCAGTCGAGTTGAGCTCTGCTTGAAGAACCAAGCCATCGGCGGCGATGGTCCGCGCAGGTTGTCTGGGATCCATTAGGTACAGTAAGTGCCACTCCCATCGTCATGCCTTCTTCATACTCGTCCGCTTTCCTCGAGACGACATCCCTCTTGCTCCCTTTTGCACTGACTCGATCCCAATCGACTCCTGCCCCTCCCCCAGCGCATCAAAGGATCGCTCCGGAGATCGCTGCCTGCTCACTCGAGTGAGGAGGACGCTGCCGCTACTGCTCGACTCAGATTATTAGCATGAAACCAGCAAATGGAGTAATGTCACGTGAACGAGAGAAAAAACAAGCAGCCTTCCTGCTTAATCTCCGCAAAAAGTAGCTCTGCCTTGATTACCGATCAGTGTACGGTGAGGGATCGGTACCCGAAGGCATGCCCGAGAGAGTCTGATCGTCCCTCGGTCGAGAGTTTGGTACTTCTCGTGGTAGTCCTTCAATATAATTGAACTCACTCTCACGGGAGAAAAGACTCCATGATAATGCCGAGGATATCGGTGTCGAAGTCTCCCCCCAGGGCAGTCTCTAAGAAGCTAAAATGCTGTGAGGGACGAGTTGAATTGATGAAGAGAGTTTTAGATTCGATTCAGATTCGCTCGGTCGATATTTCATCGGCAGAGGATCTCGCGATGAACCCCTGTGTGACCGATCGTGTCCCACGGATTTCGCCACGTTTTTTTCGATCCGGACCGCTTTCTCAGTAAGTGGGCGGATCTCTCATCTCGTAATCGATGCGTACGTTCGATTCCCACGGACCTACAATCTCAGTTATGTCCGATGAAAGTGCGATCGCTCAAATTCCACGGTTTTTGAGTCCGTCGATATACATACACGGGAAGGTAGAGGACTCTTCGTCGTCCTTCATTCTTTAGACTCGAGACGAGGCAGAAAAAGAGTTTCAGAGTCATTTCATAAATATGCATCCTCAGCTACCTCCTGGCTACCCTGGGACACGCAGCGCGCACGCGAAATCCCTCGCTGGATCGGAGCTAGGGGAAGCGATCCGGAATGTCCACATTCTCGGAGAATCTTGGTTTTAGTCTTTCAGCGCGCAACTCGCTGGAGTTCCGTCCAGTCCGTCTCATCCCCGTGCGTCTCCCCTTCGAATATTAGTTGGGAACAAGAGACGCCAGTCAAGTTGGGGGTATATTCCCTTTCCATGGACGTGCTGACTCCACGCACGTCGGTGCTCCGTTGCGTGCTGTACGACCACCCGACCAAGCAGAACCAGCGAGATTGTGAGCATGTACTGGGCTGTACGTGGAGCGAGACATCGTTTGCAAGAACAAACAAATTTTCGATGACTTCTCCGTGGCCCCCCCCCCATTCCGAGCGGAGCTCTCCCGCAAGAACACCTTTTCTCAGCGTGAGACCAAGGATTCCGAACTGTCTCCTTCCAACCCAAGCTCGACCAGACTTCGACTACTTTAGAATGAGGAGGAAATCAACTTCGTCTAGGTACCTACGAGGTGACTGCTTTGTGTCCCATGGGTATAGAGCGAGGTCGGGAACTTTCGACCACTGTCGTTTGTTACGGGCTCGACACTCATTCGGTAGTTGCTCAAAACAAAGCCAGGTCAACTTTCGAAGGGAGCGATCTGGGACCAGAATCTCGAAACTTTGTCGGCACTTGGTGTCATTCGAATTCAAAAGTGAAGGCCTCGATGCAGGTCGCTATGCCGAGGGGAAGGCCTGCGTGCGAGCGTGCGTGTATGTACCTAGTTACCCTTCCCGCTTCGGCCCTTGCCGCTTACTCTCGCCCCCTGAGTTTTTGTGAGAGGGGAGCGCGTACGGGTGCTCAAAGCGCTTCGTGTTGGAGCGAAGTGATGATGTCCTCCTACGGATGGAAGAAGTTGAACAACTTCGGATGCCACTCCAACCTGGATCCACAATGTGACCATGCTGTGACCAGTGTTTGATGGACAGCGACTCCATCGGATCTACCATCGGCTCTTTGGATAAAATTTACTGTTCAACGTCCCATTGTCAGTGGAAATAGACGAAAAGGAACACAAGACACGGATAGTGTCGATACCGGTTGGAAACCAGTCTCTTCGGCGATTACCATGTGGCTATTTCTGCAAAGTTGGATTGTGGCGCTCGCATTCACAGATATACTTTTTGTCACCGGTGAGTCCGTTTCCCACGAGTTCGCTCCTGCCGGAGGGCCTGCGACGGCGTCCCGGCTGGCGGCAAACTCAATCCCATATTCGTCATCGAATGCATGTACATACGGTCCGACCCAATTATCCTCCAAGCAGGGCGGAAACCGAACCGAATTAGTCTGAGATGGAGGGAGACTTCAAGTGAGTCAACGGAAAAGGCGCGGGATCAAGATTCGTCCATCCGTCCGATCGGAAACTTCCCGGGGTTCTGACGTCTGTTCACGAAACCATAGTCGAGGTGCGCTTTCGTTTGACGTCAGAACACAGCCTCATCTAGCTTCGATGACAATACTCACAGCAGAGAATGAACGCGGTCGAAAAGGACCGAGCCCTGATCGATGCGAGCTGCGACAGCCACGCGATATCTATGAGCGACGATCAGTGCGCACTCTTGTCGCGCGCTCATCAACATTTTAGAGCAATCAGCGTTTTGGCTGCAACACGGACTCCGGTTGATTCGGGTCAGCAAGGATAAACTCTGTGTCAACCGCTCCGGTTCCGGCCAAGGCAGCGAGCGAGTGAACAAACGAGCGAGCGAGTCACAGCTGGTTTGTCAAACATGCATACTCAGCATGGGTAAGCCTCTGGATGAGGAACATGGAAGCGTCTTGGTGCCGTGTTCGCCACGGAGCGAGAAATTCTAGGAGTCGCTGAGAATTTCGGAATAAGAATATCGTTGGAGATATGGGAGTTACGAAGGAAAACGAAGGAAAGCTCACGGAAACAATGTACGTACTCCGCAACGACTGACCGAGAGACGAGCCGACCAACAGCGGGAGCGAACCACGGGATATTTCACAAGGGCGCCGCGTTGTCAGGCAACGGCGCTAAACAACTCGTTTTGCAGCCGCAAACCGCGTGGGGAGCGGATCGCTAGGAGATATGAGACGAGTTGGGCACGTCTTGACCGATCTCGGCTCTGCCCGATGATTGGGGATCGTTTCCGATAGCCTGCAAACGGAACGAAGCGAAAGCCCACGCGGCTTATCAATTATGTGTCGAATCCGTTCTCGACGTTTCGTTTCAAAACTATCTCTTGCCAATGAGCTAAGCTGATTCGCGTGATCGCGCAGCTCATTAAATAAGGCTACATTGTTACGATGTGGCAGAGATACTCTGTACGATGAGATTATCAGGTGTAGAGGTCATCGATGACCTCCCGGAGCGCTGTTGGCTCTTGCGGAACCGGATTGATCGCAGACATCATGCGTTTGATCAACGCATGGAATCGTCGTTGCGACGGGGCTATTACGGGCGATGAATACCGTTTTGGAGCATTGTAAAATATGACGGCACTGAGCGCTTGATAACTCTGTGAGAACTCCACCCGACCCACTCTCGATACGTGATGGAACGAGCCGCCTAACTGACCACGTGCGCGGATATTCATTCCCGCCAAAGCAGGCTTCTCGATGCTGTCGTCGCGAAAAACACAACGCATCCGTCATCGGCCGAGACGTCTTCGTGGAACAGAGCTGGATCATCTCGACTCCTCGCTCGGTAGCCCGACTTGATTGCTCACTTCAATAATAATTATTAGTGATGGAGGACCCGTTCCGAATGTCAGGCGGAACAAGACGCGACTACCGAGCTGCATTACGTCCTGTGCGACGGAAATGTTGGCGAGTGATCCTGTGCGGTCGTCATTGCTGACGTTCTTCTCGAGTTACCGAGCGGGGGTCTTCGAGGAATCTTCCGCGATTCGGCAGTAAGACTGCATTATCGCATTATGATGTGATTGTGATTTCGCTCATCAGATGGCGAATCGAAAACAGCTCACGACACAATTGCGCCCATGTAGCATTTGCGGTAATCTCGGTATAATGTGGGGAAAACTTCTCTCCGACGACCGTCGAAAACGACCCGCCGTCTGGTCGACTCGCAAGATATATTGTAGATAAGGCGGATTGATCCGACATCGGAAGTCATCCTGCGAAGTGGCGGCCCCCGAAAACAACAATTTTGCATTTGGAATCGAGAATAGACATCGTTGCTCCATCCTGAGTCTGACGAGAAACAGGAGCTGGCGGGTCGGGATCTGGATCTGTATCGAAAGCCTGCGATCCTCTCTTCCCTTGTGTTCCGAGGTGGGCGAGCGACTACTGTTCGGAACCGTGGAATCAGATCTGAAAAAGTAATCCGCATCCGCAGACGCGAATCGCCCCTCGATTCGGATGGCGGGAAATCCCGAAGAACAATGATATGGTTAACGCACGGACTTGAGTTCGCTGGTACCTGATGATGCTGGTCAGCAGGCGAGCAAGCTCATTGAGCAGTTATCAGATTCGCCCGGTTTTGGACATTTCGCGTTTACGACATTCGGAAGAAGACGAATCTCAAGAAGGCATCTCTTCTGACCCATTTCTTTGCCCCAAGGATGGAAGCAGAAAACATTCAAAGCGCTTAACCTCGAGATGCAATTCAGGAACACTTGGGATCAGCCATCCTGAGACGTCCGTTCATTCCGGAGCTTGCATCCGCTCAGGACTTTCGCTGCGTCGAAGTCCTCAGGACTGCGGGATGCATCGATGAGCGGGCCCCTCGCTTCGGAGCGAGGAAGGAGAATGGATTGCGTGGTTTCTCGAGCGAAGTGACAGACTCGGGAAAGTCGCTGTTTTCTCATCACAAATCGGATTGGGAGGAACGATGTCGGGGATACAAAGTGATCGTGAGAAGCGCGGTCCCAAGTATTCGCTTTGTATTCGGTACACTGAGTCTTCTTCATCCTCCGCGCTCGACGCCAGGGGAAAAAACTGAATTGTCTCTCGTTTTGATGTTCATTGTGGCTGTTTTTACGGCTCTGCGTAGAACACACACAGAAAAGAGGGAGTAGAAAGGAGGAGAGCAGAAAAAAGTTTGGAGTCACGAATCCCAAACATTGGGAGATACCGAAGAGGGAAGAAGCGCCCATCCATCTTTTTGCGTTTCCCGCGAAATAAACAAGCGCGAAAAACGACGTTCTAGCCGTGGAGAACGGACACACCCATGCAAAATCATCAATATACGTATGTTGATTCGAAAACGCCGCATTGTCCTGCCGAGGTGATTCGGTCGGCGCAGCTACTCGATGGCGGCGGTCGAGCGGGCGCTAGGTAGAGGAGAACTGAACTAGCTTCCTAGTTTGGAGCCATTTCGACCACAATCAATGCCGATTTCAGTCGCTTCGAAATCTGTGGAAGCGACTCCATAAGTCGGATCTGGATACTCGATGATCCAAGCGCAGCTCTCGACTCTCCCGCCAAAAGGCGGATCTATCTGTGGGAGATGAGCATACACGCATCGAGAGAGCTGCATCAATCGGAGGTTTCGACTGAGCTCCGCTTGTCCCGGTTCGGGCTCGGCCTCGCGGTTCAAGCTCGTGGCGCGAGCCACACCGGCTGACGCAAGCGAGGCGAGCGCAATCGGTGTGAACTCATTGATTCAGATCACGTGTGTGCCACACATCCGCTGTTTCAACTGCGGCTGCTTAATCGACAGAGTCGCGCTAGGAAGATGGAACACCGAAGCGTTTGAAGTATGGAAAGTAGACAACTACCTCTCCGAATCGGGAATTCGCGAAAAACTGGGTCTCGCGCTACGTATTCCGTGGGCGCTACTTGGCTCGATCTCACTGAGAACGAATGAGAACGAGAATGCGAATCGATGAAATCCCTCCGATTTCATCGGATGATTTTGGGACGCAGCGTATACGCACGTAATATCCCGATCGCGATGACGACGTGCTATGATCATTCGATCGGTGTCCGCGGCAGCGCCGAGACCAGCCACGGTGCTTGAGGAGTGCGGAGGCCGAGTCGGTCCGTCAGTCAAGGGAGCGCTGATCGCTTCGCCTCATCGGCTGCGTCCGACCAATGACTGACTGAGTCAGCTCGAGCATAGCGCGTATAACCGACTACGAAGTGACCCCCGGCAATTTTACCCATCCTACAAGTAGTGACCTCCGACTCCTGACCGCCTGGCCGTGGCAGCTACGTGCATCGGGGATATGCCCACGACGTCGGAGGCCGCAATCGGAGCCTCCTGCGCCCAAGACCTTGTCCAACGATACGGCGAACTTTTCCAGCAGTAAACGCTGCGTCGAGTCACAGCTGCGCCGACGGCAGCGGACGGAGTCACTCGGCTCTCATTTACCGACGATCATTATCACAAGGGGAGGATACTTATGAGCATGTCTGAACGTGTCCGCGGAGCGCGTGGATTTTGAGCGACTATAATGCATGTAATCCACAAAGCGAGCCCAAGTACCTGGCTACCGATCCACAGAGCCGCCGTGCGCTTATGACAACATTGTTACGGTAAACAACTCAACTATACTTGGACCGGGTCGACGATGTCAAATGGGAAGCCACTACGCACTGAATAAATTGGCGAGAAAGAGCTGCGGTGGGACTGGGTTCACGGGGGCCCATTTCGTACCCAACCGCCTCAGAACGCCGGTCACTTCTCACTTCTCGTTTCTCAAGCTGACACAGACTCACATTTCCTTTTTAAATCCAATCCAACATACGAATATTCGGAGATGGATCTATAGGCTCGCCGATCGTGCATTGCATTCATCGAATCCATTCGAACTAAACTGATTATTATCATTATTGATTTTGATCATAGCAAAGTGAGGATCGGATCCCATCCACTCGAGTCAGAGTCATTGCCGAACGGAATATAGGTACCCATGATTCTGCAGTCACTCAGGGAACCGGCTGAGATCTGTTTCACAATATAAGAGGCGTATCGGTGACTCGCCCAGTCAGAAGCAGCGGATTCTGGTCACGAGGCTGTGGTCCACACGCTATTCGACCCGTGCAGTAGTCGAGTGTCATTGGTCATGGCAGCCGTCAGATCTCATCGTTCGCAGCGCGTTCGTAGTCGAGGACTGCGCCCTGGTCCTGGTAGGTCGCTTCAGTTGAATGCTCTCCAGTGTGAAGTTGGTCGCAGCCATTGCCGTCATCATTTGTAGTCGTCGTT